TGTGAAATGATTTGTTGTCCTCCTCCAAGTTGTACAAAAACCCTTTAAATTCCATTTATACTTATCAAAAACAGACACCACTTTTTGATAACATGGAGAAATTTTTAACCTTTTTTTGTTGTTTCTTATATGTACATACATTAATTTCCACATACATTCACACACAAATACATATGTACACGCATATTTAGTTGTATGTATGTATTTATGCAAATTTAATTAAAATTAAAATCAAAGGAACTAGAATGAATAAAGACCAATTAATATTTCCTGACCTATTTAGTGTATAGAGGGTAGGCCAAGATTGCAGAGAGGCATATGTAGGTAATTTTTGACTTGCGGTTTTTCAGTTAAATGTGTTTAAAGAAGAAATGGAAATCTATATACAGAAATTGAGACAATATTTCCTTTTAATTGGTGATGCAAGATTTGTTTACTTGCTCCTCAAGCCAAGTAGAATTGATCGTGGGTCAGAGAAGAGGGAAAACCGATTAATTTGATTAATCTTTTCACGTGATGATCAAACTGTGGCATTTTCTTTCTTTTTCTTTTTCCTTTTTTGTTGCTTGTTTTCCACAGAAAGATAGACGACCACATAATCTTTTTTCATTGCAAGAATGAATCATCCACTAGAAAAATGGGCAATAATTTTCACTGGAAACCATATTTTGCAACTTGGATTGGCAACAATTATTTGCCTTTTTTTTTTTCTCAACCATTCCTTGGGCTGTAAAACTTAAAACTTGTCCTTTCTGCTTATTGCTTGCACGTGTATGGTTTCTTCTTCTCAACATTTTGTAAATTATTTGTGATTTGGAACCAAGGGTTTGCACTTTTGTGCAGGGATTCGACATGGACATGGCTGATTCGTGACAAGTGACAAAAAACTAACTATTCTTTTTGACAGAGTTTTTGAAATCTATACCTTTTTCTAACCTGTTCCCCTAAAGGTACAATAAGTTCCAAGAAAAAAAAAAGAAAGGAAACTCCTATTTGACAGTACTGTCGTCAAGAATTGCTGTGGTTCCAGCTTGTAATTAATTTCCCAAACCCATTTAGACAAAATTCTCAAAGAGAATTGTAATTTGTTACAATCTTCAATAATCCCACAAGAAACATGGGGAAGAGGAAAATCCAATTATGAACGCCATATATAGATGAGAAATATGTTTTTTACGTTATCATCCACCTTATCAAGATCATTCACATGTATTTAAGTACTTAAATTAATTCATCTCTGTCACAAGAAAAGAAATTTAATATTTTAGAATTGTATATTTTACATAGACCAATGAGGTATATATATACAAAAAGTAATCATATACATAGTTTAACTCTAACTAAATATTGTAGTCTAACTTGTTAACAATATAGTAGTATAACTCTCACTAGATAATTTTCACAATTATCTTAATAATTTCTTTTTTTATTTTCTAAAAAGTATGTCTTTTATCTTGACTGAAAGTAATTGGATATATAAATATAACTTAATTTGTTTATATCAAAAGAGAAGTTAATAGCCAGAAGAATCAAATATAAAATATTCAATAAATATTTACAGACAAATTAAAGCATTGCACCCGAATGCTTTGAAAGGAAAATATTGCCAATACCTTTTACAGTTGTTTACTTTAAGAAAGTAATTAAGATATAGACCAAAGCATAACCAAGCTAGCATGTATAATTGTATATAGCTTTTAAGGCTTCCATAACAGTACATACTCACAAGGTAACAGGCAAGACATAAAGCCAAAAAATACATAGTCAATGATCACTCAACTTCACAGAGATTTCACTTTCGGTTCACAGTGTAGCAAAAATCGTACATCCTCTGCACAATTTTGCTTAATATTATAGGTTTAAAATCAAAATAATGTATAAGTTATATCACTATAATTAATGAAAACAAGAGAAGAGTTAAACTCTCTCTCCACTCTCTTTCAGTGCTTTACGTGTGTGCATGTCTGTCTCTCTCGTACAAGAAAATAAATATCCTTCTTGGACGTATTATTCTAGAATAATGTAAGGGCATCTAATTAAATTCTTGAAAATGGATTGCTACTGTAACGATCAAGATTTCTCTACTTTTGATGAAAATTATTTCCTAGCAAAATTCCAGGAAGAATCCATCTGAATTAGCTAGCTTTGAGTGTTCAAGTTGCTAAGGATAAGTCTTTGTTCTGTCGAGTCCAAATTAACTCTACCAATCAAACAAATATTATTGCTTCAGCATTTGCAATTTTGGTTTTCTAAGTATTTTCATATGCATAGCTTGAGTTCAGACGTACGAAAACCCTAGATGGTTGTAGAGCAATCGTCTTGCTTCTCACTTCTCAACTCTCGTTAATATGTGCACAGCTAGCCTAACGTTAATTGAAGATAGCAAACACGTAGGAAGTTATTCACTAATTTACTAGAATCAACAATGTACAAGGCAGGCTTCTTCTCCAGGTTGTATCCAGCTATATATGTATCCATATACTCCAAAAGGATTAAAATGGTTTTGTTATAAGGCGATACCCAAAATATCACAAGTAACACACACGAATTCATGTTTTTCAATGCAAAGGAGCATATACTTCTTTTTCCTTAGAAATGGCTTCTCACTGCAATCAATGTACGTATAAGAGGATTTTGCTATTATTTTTGGCATATAAAGACATGAAAGGCCATCATTTCCAGCTATGCCATTGGCAGCTTTGACCTAAATAAAGCTAGCTAGGGAACATTTACAGCAACATACCATATAGTACTTTTTTTCTCTTTCATATTAATGCAAACATATACATACAAGAAAGCCATTCATTACACGAATTCCCTGCTTAACTCATACTATAATTTTTGTTCATGTCCTACTGATCCTTCAAAATGTTTAACAAGGGATATTCGACACCATGAAATACTTATGCCATTAAATTCAAGATAATGTCAGAACTTTTACATCACGAATTGCAGGATTCTAAAGAAAGTTTCCTGATTGCTGTTAAATAAAAAAATAGTGCAGTACTGAAGAGAGATGAAGATTACAATACTTTGACAAATCCATTAATATAAATGCAGTTGACTCTAGTTTAAAGTTTCTTTCTTCATACAAGTTCCTGCTAATAAAGTTATAATGATTAAATTTGTTGTCATGATATATCTAAAAACATTAGTTTATTGAACTGATCGGAAGTATGAAATGTTAATCAAGATACAAGCTTAAAGTTCTTGATAGGGGCCGACACACACTGCATGTAGTTAATAAGCGCTTACCCATGAACAGGTAATAAAGGAGTTCCAAGTAATGTAATCAAAATATCAGTATCAATATATCCACAGTGAGATTCAGACACACACCCACACATACATGCGAGTCTAAATTTGATGTGTTTTTTTAAAGCATGACCACGTTGATAGATTACAATGCATTACTAATCTGACTGAGATTGATTTTACACATTAGTACCTAGTTCTTAATTATCTATTTTCTTCCCTGACAGTAGAATTAAAATCCCAGCTTCCACGCATACTTTGGGTGCCTAGCTTGTCTCAGACTACAACAATAGTTCTAGCAGACATATAAGGTTTGCAAGGCCATAATCAGCAAGCTAGGTAGGTGCAAGGGTTGTAGGATGCACATAATTTGTAAGAGAAAAATACTAGCACTTTCTAATTGTTGTAAGTTCTATACTCAAACCATCACCAAATGTCCAAGATTTATCCTTAATAATTAAAGACAAAGAATATTACAACACCAGCAATTGGAATTTGTTTTTTTGTTTCTCATTTTAATTGCAATCATTGTGAACTACCTAAAGAAAGGCACTCAAGCTCAAGAAAAATAAAAAAGTGGGATGAATGATATGGAAGACCTTTTAACAAGCTAATTGCTATTAGCCATTAATCCGAATGTAAAGCAGAAGTACATAAGAGTTAACTGCCCCAAGAACAAAAGAAAATGTAAGACTTACCCTATATATATACAATTATTTAAAGGTAAAGGAAATAACTGCCATTTGGAACATGATGAAACAAAGAAAGGCCGCCTAAAATAATAAATGCCATAACCTTAGCAGTTGTCTCTCATATCATGAAAAATAAAAAACTGCTATAATTGTTCATAAAATGATCAAAAGCAGCTGGACTTGTTAATGTTTCATTATGTTCATACGATAAATATCAGCAGAATATATTCTTTTGTACATTTCTGCCAAGCAGTGAAGGAACAACAAGGTGACTGGTTGGTTTTCATAGAGACTTGTGAAGGAAATACATTTAGAATTACCTCATGGCGAACAACAAAGGGTACTGAACCAAATTGCTGGTAGCATGGAATTACATATGCTGATGAATCCAGTTCAGCTCTAGAATAGAATAGAGTAAGAAAGAATGTATGGCAGATATGCTGGAGACTGAAGTAGCCCAGGGATCAGCTGACCTACATACCCGGTGGTTCAGACAAAAGTAAATTAAGAAATTTAGGGTTAGCTGTAAGTTTTTTGGAAGTATAGGAGCCCAAAAATGGCAAGGGGGACAAAAAGGAGGATTACATGGAGGGAATCCAGATTTAGATAATACCAATATATTAAGCTGTCCTGTGTGGTCACACTCAATGCTGCATTCATGCAAGACAACCAATCAATTTGTCCATAGCCTTATGATTTTCTACTAAAATAATTAGACAAAACACTATAGCCAATCAAGTTTCTCCAAAAGCGCATTGAGTGCTAAAAAAGAAATGGGGAAAAAGGGGTAGACAGCTCATTTCTTTCATTAGAAATCTTTAGCAATCCATGCCCAAACAAAGCCTAAGAAAGGCCAGGAAACCCCACCACTGTTAGAAACCAAAATCTCCCTTCTTAATTACATTTTTCATTATAAGTACTTATTATGTATTTACATTATTTTATGACATGTTGAAAATCTTTATTATTCATCTGTGTGTGTATACAAATATAAAAGTAGTACCTCTATATATAATGGGAAGGTGGGTGTGGGGGGACAAGAAAAATAAAAGGTCACAATAAATAGGCCACGATATTTAGATACTATCAATAAATACAAAGGAGTTGACAGGCCGGGTTTGAAAAGATTGACCTGCGTCTCTCCTCCATCAACCCCTCATCAGAGAGCAAATCTCAGATTCTCGTTGTCTCATCCCATGAGAGAAAAAAAATCCCATCTCCAATGAAACTGCACTTCATATCATGATCATTGAAAGCCTACAAAAAACCAAAAAAAGAAAAAGGAAAAAAGAAAAGCAAAAGAAAAAGAAAAACACCCCGCACAGCAAAGGGAAAATGCTAGCGATGAAAAAAAAAGTTTGACAAAAGAAAATATATAATCCAATAATCTCTCATGAATTGAGTTTTCATGAACTACTATTTTGCTTGTCTTTCACCAGCCATTTTTATATATAGAGATTGAGAGCGAGAGCGAGAGCGAGAGATAGAAAGAGAAAGAGAAAAAAAGTTTTGGAGCTAGAAGTCATGAGAGTGATGGTACATTGTTGGGTCATGTCGGTTCATGGCTTCTCTTTGGCTGTTCTGGCTGCTATCATCATCTCCCTCCATTCTCGACCCCATCTGAGTTGAACCTGTAGCACCAAGATTGAGATAAACCAACCTTGAATCCAAATTAAGGTTAGCAAGATTGCTTCCGCTGCCGCTACTATTATGTTCATCACTCAGTGGTGGGTAAATTGCAGTTGAAGTTGGAGTATTTGCGCTCCCTTCTTCGCGCGAAATAACCAAAGCTGCTGATTGGACAAGCTCAAGACATAGCCTAAGCTTATTCGGTTCAATGTGAGTCAGCCCCGGCACGGCACCTTTGAACAAGAAATCAGAGGTTAGAGTCCGAAGAATGTCCAAAGGAGTCACCCCATCAACGGTTCTTACATTAGGGTCCGCGTGGTGGTCTAAAAGGACTGCAACCATATCTGGTGATACCATTTCCGCTGCAATGTGAAGTGGGGTCTTGCCTGCAGGCCCGGCCCGGTAGTTAACATCGGCTGCACCAAGCTCTAGCAAGGTCTTAACCACTTCCCGGCTGCAGTTCTCGACAGCATAGTGTAAAGCCAATGCTTCATCAAGATTGAGACCTTCTCCCATAACCATGAGTTTGACTAGCTCAACATCTGAGGAGTCTAAAGCCCTTCTCATCCTCCGAATTTTCTGGTCCTCAAGATCAGCGGTCGCGGTGAGATCATGGTGGTGGTGGTGGTGGGGGTGATGAGTGATTAGGGAGCGCCGAGCAAGGGATGACTTGAGACGTAACTCTTCAATTTTGGCCACCACATCGATGGGAAGATGTTTGGCGAGAACTTCTGGTGGTAGGCCTGATTTGGCCACTAGGTGGGAACAAGTAGTCCAAAGTTGGTGCATGTCTTGCTTTCTTGAAGCTATGAGTACTTTCATAACATCTTCAATTGAGGCCTTCTCAACCATGCTGGCCAATTGTTTCTGTGAAACAAAGACAACAAAGCGTCAGCTTTGGTAAAGGGAATCCGATTGGAAAGGAGAAGATGTTTCCTTGCATTGGTTAAAGTAAAACTAATGGGTGTTTATGCAAAGAAAAAAATCTTATGTTTAGTTTGGTGGTGCTTATGGAGTAGGTTGTTATTTTTCCAATTTCAAACCCAAATGAGGAAAGTGAATGTCTGGGAAAGATTTGGTGTGCTTACTGTGGAAGACATGACTAGAGATCATCAAGATCTAAATTTGGAAAAGTCTTGGGTGTGTGGCATTTAGATGGAAGAAACCCAATTCAAGGAAACTCATATATGGTTGTACATGAAATCAAGACAAAACCTCTTATTGTTATTGGACATGAATATTTTTTTTCAACAGCATTTTACTCAAAAAGAAAATAGTAAAATCTTTTCAAAATCAACTGTAGAAGAAAAAATAAAAAAGAAAGAAAGAAAAGTAGTCAAGATGAAGAAGAAGAAGAAGAAGAAGAAGAGCCCGTGGATACAGTAAAAGAAAACTGAAGCTGTTAATAGTGGAATTAAGTGGTTCAGCAGAAAACTGAAAAAGAAGATTTTCTGTTGCAGAAAAGAGACAGTACTAAATGAGTTGAAGATCCAACTCCTACTACTTCAAAGGAGGAGAGGAAAAAAACAATCGTGAAGGAAAATTGTACAACAAAAAGGTTTTGATTATTAAATGAAAAGAAACCCACCTTGATTACAAATCCCTTCAATAAAAGAATAGAAAAAATTGAGAGAAAAAAGGAGAAAGAAATAAAGAAGGAAATCCTGATTAATTTCCAATTCCCAAAAACGAAGCCAAGTTTTGTCTCAATGCCCAAAAACCCAAATACAAAAGTAACAAGACTCCACATACACACTAATCAAGATTCAGACAGCAGACAAACAGAAAGGGGGAGGGGGTGCAGTGGGAGATTACTGAGGAGTGAAGAAGTGAAAGAAACAGAAACAAGTGGTTTATGAGTTATGATGGTGTGATGAGATGACAACAAATTAAGGGAAACCTGGGTGAGTAATGCAAGCTGTTCAACACCAAAGTATCTAGCGGCAGCAAGAGTGTCGAGAGCGAGATCAACGGCAGAGGTGCAATGCGTATGCCAACACGCTCTTTCAGAACAATTAGGCCTGGGCTCATGCTTTTGAGGCACAATAGAGACTTGGCCACTATACAAGAACTGTAACAGCAGCAAGAACACCTCGTATCCCACTGAGTTCACTGGTATAACACCAGGCCTAGACCCTGCGGCTGCTGCTGCTGCTGCTGCTGGGTTCATCCTGGAACCAACCGGGTCTAACCCAGATGGAGGATCAGGTCCGCAGAAGAATTTCCTGAAGAAGAGACTCCTTGCAGCTAAAATACACCTATGGGCATGAACCAAGCGACCCTCTACGCTGAAAGTTACATCGGAGAAAGCCTGGCCATTGATGAGGAGGTTAAGGTAGTCCAGAGAGAGAGATCGTAAGGACTCCTCGAAGCTACTCATTTTAGGGTTGCTTTCCGGGAAGAAAAAGCGGAGGAGGATGGTTTGATAAATCAAGAAGAGCTTGCAGAAGAGAAGGAGAAAGAAGAGAAGAGAGAGGGGGAGGGGGAGGTCATGATTTCATTTGGGGGGGGAGGGGGTTGGAATGGAAGATGAAGGTTACTGTTATTGGTTTTTTGTAGAGAGATTCTTTTCTCTCGATGGGGTGGGGTGGTGTGGTGTGGTGTGGTGTGGTGCGTTGTCGATAGATATTTTGAGAGAGAAATGGAAAGAAAGAGCAACATGGGTGGCTATTCTGGGCGGCTGAGCTATTTAAAATAGACAAGTGAAAATTTTTTAATTAATTTTATTCTTAATTCAAAATTAAAATTAAATACCAACGATGGGGTGGGGGCGTGGTGAAAATGATGATGGGAAGGGAAATTCGGGGATTTCCTGATTTTTGCCAGAAATTTATCCTCATCATTTCCTCGTGTTTTACTATTTAATATTAATCATCTTTCCCAATTTATCATAATCTTCCAATAATAATAATAATAATCATTTTCCTATGTCTATACATTTTTTTATTATATTTATTATTATTATTTTGTAATCAAAACTCCAAAATTGCCAACTTTTATTCATCCATTACCATTCATGCGACAAAACTAGTGGTGGAATTGACATTTAAGGTTTGCATAATAACTTAAAATGATTATAAATTGATTATTTAGTGTTTGTTACATTTGATTCTTTAGTCTTATATTCTCACAGTTACAGTATCATATATGTATGAGTATGACAAGTCAAGTATATATTTTGTCAATTCCTATTAAAATTAAAATAAATAAATGGAGCTAGACGATTAGGTCTTACTTTAATAATAGGCCCTAAGACCATTAGCTCTCAAATTCAAATTTCATCTTGTGTTTTCACCCAATTAAATTTCGCCTTTTTTTTTATTTTCAATCTTGTATAATGGATTTATCTCTTTTTCTTTTCAATTAATACTAAAGCAAGTTCATGTTGCACTCTAAAATAAATTAAACATGTTGTAATTGAATTATATATAATGAGTCTCAACTCAAACCTAACCGACTCTAAAAAAGAGTTACAGAATTTACTTGAATCAAATTCAATGAATTTATAAAAATTAATAAATTAATTAATTATTAAATTGACATATGATCATTATCTAGCCCTGTTTTGAAATTTAAAAAATTCATCATGAGCGCATAGAATAATATAATCCAAAGTTAAAACTCCAAATTAATTGGATTAAAATAAAATAGCAATATGAAACTTAATTAGAAACTTATTCTATAAAAGTTTACGCAGATGAAAGATATTTTAATTTTAAATTTTACAACACAGTTTAAAAAGTTTTACTTTTACATTCCCTCAATTCTATTTTTTTTCTCATTTTTTTAAGGATATCTCAAAACTACATCTTCTTTTTTCTTCTTTGAATACATAATATTCTTAATTTTTTTTTATCTTCCAAAATTACTTTCATGATTTCTTTTTAACCTTTTGGAATTAAAAATTATAGAACATTAATTTTATGAAATAAAAAATTAAAATCAAATCAATATTTTTAAAAAAATTCTGTAAAAATGAATAAAAACAAAATTGAGAGTGTAGCCCCTTTCCATGTAGCTCTACGCAAAGCCAAATATGCTTTTTATATATACTCTAAAATCAAATATAAACAAATAAGTTCATTGTTCACTGTAAATAATTTTTAATAAAAAAATTTACAAGCTTTACTTAATCTTATCTTATCTTAAAAAGAAAAGCTTTCCAATTAGTATATGTTATTTTATTATAAAAGAAAACTTAGTATATGTTACCTTTACATATTATAAATACATTAATAAGAAATACCTTGTGAGATCAATAGCTTTGCACTTAGATTGATGTATTTAAGTGCCCAAAAGTGTGTGTACGTGAATTATGAGATTCCAACTACTTGTTTTATTAACAAGTTTTTTTTTTCAGGGCATGGTCTAAGGGAAGGGTGAAATTCTAATCTTGAGCTTAAACCTACTTAAGGAGGAGTAACAATTGCTAGGTTAAGCCACTGCTTGCCTAGGCCTGACCCGAGTCGGGTTTGGCCTAAGCTTTGCTTTTCAGTTGGCTCAATCCAAAAGAAATTATTTTGTTAATAAATAATACTTATATTTTTTATTTAATTTAAATTATAAAATATATTTAATATGTTAATTTAAAAAATTAGTATCTTAATATTCAAATACTATGTAAATGTATGGACTAAGTTGCCCTGAGTCTTACCCATACACACCCCTGGTTTGGGTTGTTATTAATAAGTTTATTTGAATAATATGTTAACATTAATGTCATTATTGTAAAATTTCGACTTTCAACATATTGCAATATGAATTAATTTGTAGTAGTTAATAATTATTTAATTATCTCTTTAGTTTTCTTTTGTCCCATTCTTTTTTGATCTCTCGTTTTACTTATTCTGCTTTTATCAATCATTAACAAAATTTGTCTAAGGTTTCCCATTGACAACAAAAATTTATCTAAGTTTCCTGGGTCAAGTTTTTTAGATTCCTTATAATTAGAAACAATCAACTTTAAAAGTGAAAAATCAAAATAAATAAATTTACAGATCAATTTAATGATTAGATTAACAATATATGAAAAATTAATTAAAAAATATAATCTATAAAAAAATTGGCAATAATTATTGATCCTGAAAATTTACTCCCAATTAAAATGACACAAATATAATGCTGTGTTCATTATACTAAAGTTTCACATCTATTGTGATAATAATTATAACCTTCCAAGTCCAATCATTATTATTAGCTAGGAAATTTCAGCAAATGCTTATAGCCACTTAAATTTTATTAAAAGTTTAGGTTAGATAAGTAGGCAACAAGTCTGCAGTTACACACAACCATAATTAGGAACCAATCAGATTCACACCAAATACTAATCCCAACTTAAATATGGAATAGTTATGGATTATAGTTAAATATAATTATTTCACTTATTAGTAATTGAGTTGAGCTATATCAATTTTTGTGAAAACAAACAAACAAACAAGCCTTTGAACTATATCAATTTTTATACTTTAATTGAGTTCTTATAACTTTATCATACCCAAAAAACCCGTTTTGCTTCTATTTGTATTCAAAGAAGACCCTATTTTTTTATTTTACTCATAGAAGTCCTTATTTCGTAACAACAATATAATGGATGGTGGTCCTAGTATCAACTGTCACTTGTTCTAAATGTGGCATATGAAGTAGGAAAGTCACTGTTGATATGGGTAAAACCCAAAAAGCTCTCTTAAAACATTTTAAAAAACATTTTGATCTTTTTTATTGTAAAATGATATTTTTGATTCATTGACTGTTAACACCGTTAATCAATTGTTAAAAAACAATTAGACCTAACACTAAATAAATATTTTAAAACATAAATACCTATATTCTCTATTTTAAAAAACTTGACATCCTTCTCTCAAAAACCTTAACTAGAAAAACAACATAAAAATTTTTTATTTGAAGGCATGAAAATTTGTTGTACTTCCTTAAAAAACCATAAACTTCTTTCTAGAGGCAAAATCTATTGTCATCAAACTCTTTATTTTTCCAACAATTTGAGTATTTTTTTTTCATTGAAATGAATGTATTAAAAGTAAATCTTTTCTTCAATGATGGATATTTAAAATTTGATGAAGTTGGGTCAAGAGATTAATTTCTTACTCGTGATTACTAATTTTGCTGAAAAATTTTTGCCCAAAATTTGTCCTTTGAGATTAGAGTTTACAGTGATGTAAAAAGATTTTAACTTGATTACTATATATCAAAATATTTATTTTTTTTCTCCTCTATCAAATATTGTACTTTATTAAGTATCAAAGTTAGACAAACTACCGCATTCAAAAATCTCATTTTAGAATCTTTTTAAGTTTTAAGTTTTTTTTCTTTGTCAAATATTTAATTTTATTAAATATCAAAGTGAATTTTAATAAGTTTTAGAATGGAACATGAACAATTTTTTTTGTCCTAAAATATTTATGTAGTATTGGGTATAATTTTTTTAACTATTGACCAAAGGTGTTAATAGTCAAAGGATCAAAAATATTATCTTAAAATAAGAGGGATCAAAGTGTCATTTTGAAGTATTTTGATGGGACTTTTGGGATTTTACTCCTGTTGATGCCTTCACATTACTATGTAGATTTTATTAGTTGTTGACATGGAATTTTTTTGCTATCGATGTGGAAAATTTTTCCTGTTTTTCCTTTTCAACCACCACATGTCAAAGGTTAATTGGTTGATTAAAACATGACCTTAAGATAAAAAAAATTAAGGGAACCAATTTGGTGGTTTAAGGTTCATTCTGCATATCTTTTTCCCCTTTCTTGAAATCAATGTCAAAAAACATGAAATTTCTAAAATTGAATGAAAACCAAGAACCGTCTCTTGCTCCTTCTTCCTTTATCAACTAAAGTTTCTTATGTTAAGGAGATGTCTTCAATCTCCACTTCATCTATTTGAAGTAGAAAGAAATTAAATTCAAGTGGAAGTTGTATATTGTAAACTAAGGTTGAATGGAACTACAAAAAAAGAACTAATTAATTATTTTTTTCAAAACAAAATGCCCTAGGGAGACAACCTAGAACGGATCGTAGCCAAGGCATAGGTTTTTCAGTTGTCCCCTGCAAGGTAAATTTCCTTTGTTTTTTATTTTTTTTTATTTTTTAAGTTAAATTTTCTTTGTTGTTCTTAATACTTTTCAGTGTTTGATGTACTTGAGTATTTAGGGATTCACAATGCTATTTTGATTATAGGTCATAAATCGTGGTTTTTCCAATGGCGTGCTTAGATAATGACACAAAAGGCTAAATTTCGTATATATGAGCAGAGAATGGAGAATGACAAATTGAAAATAGAGAATGAGGTATTAAGGATGATGAATACCGGTGAAACTTTCATCTCTAATGTGGTTGATGAGAGAGAAGAATTGATTTTGCCATGTGAGGATCCAAACCAATTAAAAAGGAAGAAGACATTTCATATTGTTGAGATGTACATTTCTTGGATTTTTGTGATATTTGTTGTTGTTGTTGTATTTTTATGAAGTAGATTGAATCAAATGTACAATTTATGTTTTATGAAATTAATTCAA